GTGTGCGTGTTTGTGTGTGAAGCCTTCGAATAAGAGAAGTCTGTGCTCAGCCATTCCTGGGACGCTATGATTTGTGTCAGTGCGTGTCTGTGTTCCTGCGTCAGTAGTCCGTGTCCGAGCCCTCAGCGTTGTCCACGTTACGGGAGAGCATGTAGTTGTCCATGTCGATGGAGCGGCAGTTGTTGATGGCGTAGCGCAGCCGCTCGGCCATGACGGCCTGGCTGGAGTACGGAGGCAGACGCAGCTGGAAGAAGCAGGTCTGGGAGGTGGGCAGGCTGTCGTACGGCTGCAGGCGACAGAGAGAGAAATCAAACTTTATCCCCAGTCAGAGGGACCAGCACACTGCATTCTGGGTAAAGAGCTGAGCTACGTTCACACTGATGAATTTTGGTTTTGAAACAGTTGCTGAGAACAGACGTCACATGACCGTTCACATACACTGGTCATGTGATGTGAACAGGAAGCAGATTGTCTCCTCTGCAGTTGCTTAGTTACAGAAAATCTTGATTGTTTTGAAATCGAAGGTTTTTATTTCGGAAGAGAACGAGTCCAGTGACACTTTTTAAAACCCGATCTATCAGTTTGGTCACATGATCCTGATTCACTCACCCTGTCCACCTTCATGATCTGAAACCTCTGAGAGATGTCGGCTGTGTTCGCCGGCAGCCTCGAGCGTCCGGAGACGAAGCGCATGAAGAGGACTCGCTCCTCGTTGGAGAACTCCTCCAGCGTCTGCCAGAACCACTGCACCAGAGCGTGCTGCTCGTCCACCTCCCTGTATCGCACCACCTTCTTCAGCACGTCGCAGCAGATCTCCGGCATCCCGCACACCATCTGCTCCAGCTGCTTGGCCGTCAGCAGCGACAGCAACGGCACCGGCACGATCCAGGACATGCCCTCGCGCACCGCCGCCACCTGAGAGGAGCACAGACGGGTGAGGTCAGCGGGCGTCACACCTCAGAATCAGAGGCTTTAACAGTTCTGAACATTTCGGTTTCATCCCCGAAGAATCAGAGAATAAAAATGAAATGAAAGTAAAACACTGTGGCCACAACATTTAACAATCATTTCACCTTCACTCCGACTCTGAACAATTTATTTCAATTATTCTGAAACGTAGAAAAATGAAATAAATGATTATAAACTGATGTTTACTATTAAAAAAGGTACATTTCTTCAACTTCATGAAAATTGTGTTGATGTGAACTGTTGTTAACTCGTGACGCTCCAGAGCAGCAGAGTTTATCTGCTCAGCTTCACGTCGTCTCACCTGCCGATCGATCTCGTGCAGCCTGTACTCGATCGCTCGCTCCACATATTCCTTCCTGTTGGAGAACGTGAGCGGGATGCTGTTTCCTCCGGGGATGATGGGAACCATTTTACCATCTGCACTCTGCCCGACAAACGAATCCAGAGGAATCATCTGTGACACAACCAGGAAACACAATCATCAGTACGATGTGAAAGATTTTACAGAATGAACGAAGCACAGAAGATAAAGATATATGCTAATATGCTAACGCTAAATATCAAACCTCACTTTCATTTCTTTGTCATAACGACATCTCGGGCGTCGTTTACACATTTTGAGGTAAACAAACACATTCATGACGTAAACATGATTTAGGTGAAAACAGTTTTTCAAGAATAAGTTTTATTGAGACTGACGTCGTTAAATAAAACCTCGAACCTTCTGGTGTCAACAATTAATGTGTTAATGAGATTGATCTGTTCAGTGTGTTCGCTCTACGGTCAGACAGAGGAAGAGGAGGAGGAATAAGAAGAGGAAGAACAAGAGAAAGAAGGAGAGGAGGAGGAACAACAACAAGAAGAAGAATAAGAACATGAGGAAGAACTAGAGGAGGAAGACTTTGACTTTTAAATAACTTTAATTTAGACACATTGTCAAACAAATCCTAATTTCTCAAACAAATTTGGCAAAGACAAAGGGATAAAAACCATAATAGAACTAGAGGAGGAAGAAGAACTAGAGGAAGAAGAAGAA